GATTTGTGGTCTATCAAGTCTAATGTAATGGCGGGGAAGATCTTGAACATGTTCACACACTGCAGACTTGAAACATGTTCAAGATAGTTTCATTTAATGTGTTAGTCTTCGCGTAAATATAATAAATCATTAGCGATATACCATCTACTTATTAATTAATTAAAAATATATTTAAGGAATTAATTAAAAATATATTAAGACACAAAATCACAGTTTGGAGTATGTATCTAAATTACAGACATGCCAGCATTTACAAGAAGACTATTTAAGTTTAAATATACAGATAACTTACACTACTTAAGAATAAATAAATAAAAAACGGACGTGTAAAAAAATATGCCGTGTAAACGCTAAAATACACAAAACAAAAGAAGAGAGTGAAACAAAAGCAATTATATTTGACCTATAAAATACACATGTACACAAACACACGCACGCTTATATATATATATATATATATATATATATATATATATGTGTGTGTGTGTGTGTGTGTGTGTGTGTGTGTGTGTGTGTGTGTGTGTGTGTGTGTGTGTGTGTGTGTGTAATCTTCAAACCGAATCTTTAATAAACCATCGCGTTTACATCAAACGTTTGATATACAAAACGGTAGCCAACTGCTAACTGCGGCCACAAGGCAAATCCTCCCCACGACGAGAGAAGCTCAAAACCAGCAGAATTATACGATCGACTAAGGAGTTTTTCATGAATTTTCCAATAACAGTCAGTTGTCAATCAGTTGTTCACTCCGTCCGAACAAGTCCCATCTGTCAATATGTAGAGTGAGAAATTGATGTCGGTGTTTGGAAAATTTGACATAGCCTTACCCAGTAAAATTTATTTATCTGCCAACTTTCAAAAAGGAGACGGTACTCAATTCGACTGTATGTTTTTTTTATGTGTGTTATCTCATAACTTTTTACTGGGTAAACCGATTTCGATGATTCTTTTTTGTTTGAAAGCTGGTACTTCTCATGTGGTCCCATATGAATTTGATCAAGGTCAGACAAATAGTTTTTGAGATATTCTTAATAACTTATATTGAAGTCGGCTGTACAAAATTTTTAATTTTAAATTATGTTTAAATATATAAAAATTACGTGTCACATTGTTTGTCCGCGATCAACTCTTAAGCTACTAAACTGATTTCGATGAAATTTTGCACACTGTGTGCAGTTGGATCCAACATGAGAGATTTAAGTTTTTATGCCGATAAGTGCCTCTCAATATTTGTTATTATGAATTTAAAGATATTTAATAGAACAGAGGGTCGTCGGAGAGGGCAGATAAAGGTCTGCCTGGCCAGCTACTATTATGTTAAAATTATGTATTATATTGGAACATTCGTTTGGTTTTATAATTACACGAGATGATTTACACTTTTCTGTATGAATAATTTCGTTTTTTTTTATTCTATAATAATTTAAGTGACATTTACCCCTTAGCGTATGTCAGTCCTATCATACCCTAACATACGCCACTTACTCGTATTTAGTTAATACTTATTAACTACGTGGGCCATGGATTCGAACAGAACTTTCGCATCGTCGCCATTTCGTTGGGATAGAATATTATGAAATGTGCCTACGTCATCATCATCATCATCATCATCATTACAGCCCTTCACAAGTCCACTGCTGAACATAGGCCTCCCCCAAAGAATGCCACAAAGCACGGTCCTGAGCCACCTGCATCCATCGACTTCCTGCATGTCTTACCAGGTCGTCACTCCATCTCGTGGGGGGACGCCCTACACTTCGCCTACCGGTACGAGGCTGCCACTCGAGAACCTTTCTTCCCCATCGGTTGTCGGTTCTTCGAGCTATATGGCCGGCCCACTGCCACTTCAGCTTACTAATCTACGTCAGTTCTGTTCAAATTCAAGACTCTTTTTAAACTACTCCTAACAGACTCAAATCGAACACATTCCATCAATATATGGTGTAGGTCTTCTATAACTCCACAATTTTCGTATTTTTAACTTATAATATCTTACTTAACCACTTGACCGAATGTATCAATTAATTACTTACGAAAAGTATGAATTACGAAAGTAATGAGTTATTTGGCTATATATAGTATCTACTATATGAACCATTTTAATCTATATCTATAAGGCTTTAACCTTTTTTTTTTAAATTATCTAGATAAGGTGTACGTGCCCTTATACGAATTACGTATTCTTTCACGCCTTGGACCTTGACAGAATACATAAAAAATATATTTAGATGTAATAATATGAAGCATTGCAAGCTTACATAATGGCTATACGTGTCTCACCTCCCTTTATTATTAAGGAGGCAAAAAATATAATACTGCCACTTAGAGGGTTGAACAGGAGGGGTCGGGAAAAAATTATATCGAATGACCCTTTTTTGTTACATACACACAGTTGCGTGACGACCATCGCACGAAGATATTAATATATAAACACCTCCAACCCTCAGAAACACAATGCATAACAAAAAATCTATCATGTTATTGAAGCAATGTGGCGTTATGTAGTCACGTGCCTCATCAGAGAGTGTTTCTAATAGCTGCTGGTCCTTAGTTCGCATACCAGTCCCCTGGTAATTGCTGTATTATGGCTTTCATTTGCGTATTTTTCGATTTTGATATTTCATCAGAGTTCTAAGTAGGTACATAACCATGGTCAAGACTAGTATTGTCGAATTAAATGTAGTTAGAGAAACTTAATTCTTTCAAAATTCAGTAAGAATCATCGATAATCTTTAATCACCGTTCAAATGGCGCATAGATTTGGCAATGAACGAGTTTCCTTTAACCTACAAGACAAATTAGCTCTTTTGTGATATATGACATTCCATGTAGCACTGGCACAAACGCCATTTCCAATATAGTTTTACACAAAAAGCCAATAGCTTATATCGGAGTGCTAAGTTTGATATATCATGGACGCAATTGTGTAGCGTGTTAGGCGTCTTGTTGAAACGCTGGAAGCTTTCCAAGGATTTCCGAATTGAATTATTTGACTCTATTGATACATTTGCTGTGATTAATTTGTTAAAGCTTTCTTGTTGCCTTTGTGGAATAAAATGAATATATTGTATTAACTGAATAATATTTATTTGTGTCTATTACATTATCGGTGGTTATTTTTTTGCAGTAATCTCATTATGTCTAAAATATAAAGGCATATTAATTTATTTATTGTTGTCAAATATTTTGTAAAGTTATCATGTATAAAACTTGTAACAAAAAACCAAGAAAGACGGAAGCGAACATTAAAAATGTTAGACTTGTTTCTTTCTTCACTTTGGACTTAAATTTATTACTCACATTTATAGGTAGTCAGGTATATTATTATATTCATCAAATCGATGTTTTATCAAAACAAATTATGAATAAAAAATTGTTCACGCCTTTTAGCTAAAAACATTTATTTGAAGTTCATCATTCATCATCATTACAGCCCTTCACAAGTCCACTTCTGAACATAGGCCTCCCCCTAGGAATGCCACAAAGCACGGTCCTAAGCCACCTGCATCCATCTAAGTTTATTAAACATTTTTTTCTTCTAATCAATATAGTAGTGGGCGACAAAGCATACATTTATTGCGGCCTATCAAATTAAACTCTAGATCATAAGCCTCCCCTTAAATTCTTTCATTAAGGGGAAGTTTGCCACAGTTTTTTTTTGAATACAGGCAACCGTATTTTTTTACATTTAGTTATAATTAGAAAGACGCTGCTGCCCAAATATTCTTACACCGCCACTACACGGCTTATGTTATGCGGGTAGTTAAATAAAGTTATACCATAAATATAAACAATTTCATAATACTTGGGTACTACTAGTAAAAATTTAAAATTACGCATAAGAGACTCGAATTTCCAACAGAAATGTTAACTTCAATTGTATTTGTAAGTTAAAATTAATTAACTGCGATTTACAAGTGCTTTTTAATGTGCACTTTCATGTTGCACTTTTAGGTCAAAATGTGTAAGTGAAGCAACATTTTTAATTTTTACGTTGGCTTCGAGCTCGTTGTGGCACTCGATTGAATTGAGGTTTGCGCTTTTCGTTCGTTACGCCAAGTGTTTGATTTGAGCCCATCGAACATATTCGTTTATCAAACGGGAATTATGCGATGTAACTTTGTATGTAATCGTCAATTTTTCTATTCGGAACAAGTTTAACAATAGTGGGTATCGATATTTCTCCTTCTCTGAAATACTTAACATTTCTTTTTCAGCTTTTTTTATAGAATAAGGGCGACAAGCGAGCACACAGACCACCTGATGGAAAGTGGATACTGTGGCCTATAGGCATCTAAATTTATCCTTAGTTAAAATCAAAATTCAGATGCGTTGTCATGCCTGAGGACTAAGATATTTTAAATAGAATTTATTTTATTCTTTCATAAAAAATGTGCATACTCTTGAAGATAGTAATATCTATCATGTTCTCTCCCAATAAATGATCCTGTTTTTTTTCCAATGGATTCTTTCTTATTTAGGTACATAACTTGCTTGAATAATTTCCCACTCTATTATATTGATTGGATGTTATGATGATACGTGGTAGAGTCATGCTGCTGCTATATTAGTAGTATAGTTGTAGCACGCATGGGTCAGCTCGACCTGGGAAAGACCACGTTCTCACAGAATACCAGCGTATAATAGCAGCTCAATTCTGCTGTGTTTCGTATAGTGAGTGTGGAGAACTGGAGACCCTTTTTACTGGAAAAGAGGCATTCCATCTTAGTCCTCACGGGTGACAATGCATCTGTATTTTGATTCTTTATTGAGGATAGATGTAGATTTCTATGGGTCACAGCAACCACTTACCATCAGGTGGACTGTGTGCTCGTTTGTCACCCTATCCTAAAAAAAGGAAAGAAAGAAAAAAATTATATTAAAGGATTTAGTTTTATTTTTTAATGGAATAGGAATAGGATGGTACCTAATAGTTAACTTTTATTAAATTAAGTAATTTAAAATATAATTTTACTAATTTGCACTTCTTTTTCTTTCAGAAGATAGATGCGTACAATCACAGTGGGCCGTCATTCCAAACATCCGCAGTCATCGCTCTCTGTTCCATAGTGCTCTTGGTAGGCGTCCTCGTCGGTGCTGTACTGGTTTGGAAGTAAGTTTTTTCTTATTATTGTTTATGTAAGCTGTGCAATTACTAGTTACATACTTTATAACACATACACATATAAATTACTCTTTCACAAATTTACAGAAACATTTGTCAAATTTAATACTATACCTATATATCATAATATAATCTTAAATGGTAAAATAACGAAGAGAAAATTATCTAGCTAAAATCCAGGCAAAAATAATTAAGGATTTACTTTATAGAATAAAAAGCATTAACCTCCCTCGAACCACACACGGGTGCTCGTAGTGCACTCGTATGACTACCAACACTAAACACAACGCAACTCTAACCTCTAACCTAGAAAAAATACACACCACCGTAAATATTAAAATTTAAAATAATAAACATATATATTTGATATTTATTGCATGAATAAGAAAATAGTATATGGCTAAAATAATGGTAAATAAAAAATTACGAACACATATTTTCACGTACCTAGTTGAGCATTTTACATAAAATATGCATCCGATAACAAAATATCATTCTAAATCAAGCAACTAACTATCGAAGTCGAATAATGTTAAGAATCTTAAATCCTATGAGCTGTGATATTTCTATAAATTGTAAAGTAATAGCGAACAATAACACTAATTCAATTAAATAGCATCCAACATCAAACAAATCATTCAGATAACGATTTTGAGACGAACGAAAATTTTCACAAATTAGCAGCGAACGTAGGACGCAGAAGCAATAACACTGACGGCGAGCTGCCCGTGACAGTTTAATTGGCGTTAAAAGACAAATAGACGACGTTTACACTTGTCTGTTTGTCCGTTTGATTTATAGATGCGATTGTTGAAATTTAATTGGTAGTTTTATATCTAATTTACTTCTACAGTACTTGCAAAAGATTTCACAAAAATGTTAATACTTATACTAAAAATTTATTTTTATCACTGAAGTTATACATTTTGCCTTACATTATCACCATCACAAGTCCACTGCTGAACATAGACCTCCCTGAAGGAATGCCACAAAGCACGGCCCTGAGATACTTGCATCCATCGACTTGTCTTATCAGGTCGTCACTCCATCTAATGGAGGGGGGACGTCCTACACTTCGTTTTCCGTTACGAGGCTGTCCCTCGATGCAATGTAACAGTTCAAGTTCACTGCTGCACAAGACGCCTCGCAGTTTGGACACTGCTTCCGCAGCTAATTTACTTTTGTCAGACACATAGAAGATCTTTTCTGGTCTACCACCAGACCAATTCCATAAGTGTTACAATGGGCACGAACAGATAGATATGAATGCCTGTTTGTGGTATCTCTTGCACAGATAATAGCTTCCGATTCCTTCCTAAAACTGGAGAGGCTCATTCCAGCTGTGGAGTTTTGTCTATAAGAATATATTAACCTTAGAGTTATTGTTTGGACACGGTCGTATGTGAATATTTGGTGACCGCCCGATTAAGGGGGTATTTAGAGTACCAGAGTACTGGGTTCGAAATCCAGTTGTAGCGAAAATTTGTACAAAAACACCATTTATAGTGTTAGATCTTGACGAATTGAGACTTATCAAGTATATTTAATACCGCATCTCATCGTACCTCTCTTATTGCAAAAAAAAAATAATGCACTTACATTGTGGCAGATTTATTATTCATGTGGATTGATTTGAAGCCCTTTGCTGTTATTAATGTTGTATCTGGTTCATTTGAGATTTAGTTTATCTCGTCCTTGTCTCCCTATATTATTCTTTCTTTAGTCAAAATAACGTAATTTTGTAATCATAGAAGATTTAATAATAAATGCCTTTTAAAATAAAAAAGTAATTAATAGAATCAGGCGTTACTTTGCGGTAATCCATAACATTAAAATTGGTAAAAATTACCTCGCGTACATCCGCTCGATAAAATAAAATGATGTATCTTAGCTAGTTTGAAGAGCACCTCCCGCCCTCCCTCAATTGCGTGCACTATCCCCGTCACCACTAATCCCAGCACCGCTACTCCCAATACCACTACACTAGGAAAGACACACCACTTACGACAGTACGACACATGTTTCGCCTCTACACGAGGCATCTTCAGGTGATGTAGACTCTGCGGTGGCTGACCGCTAAGACACCAACCAATCATTACCTTTAATTAAAAAAAGTAAGTTGAGAGGAATCATTAAGGCAAGCTAATACAATATCAACGTTAATAAAATATACATTGTGGGAATTTCGACACCAATAGTGATTCAACAAATTGCTCGCGTATATACGGTTCAGCTGGAAGCGGCACAGTCTCGTTTCGAGCGAACGGGAATGATTTCAAGAATTAGTAGTGAATGTGGAAGTGTCGACAGTGACGACAGGGTGCTCGTGACAGTTTAATCGTCGTTAAAACCGTCGTCACACACGTCGCACTCGGAGGCAATGGCTTGAGAAAGTTGATTAGAGTGGCTGTCACCTAGTCGAGATTTAATCCCAGTCTTAAACACAGCTCCATGTAAGTTAGAAGAGAGAGCGTGGTTTCCAAATATTTGAACAAAGATTAGCAGTTAATATTTCATTGTGTTTCTATATTGAAATTACGCCCTTATATAAATTATTTAGAACTATTATGTAAATTATAAATATGCGTTTATGTACCTTATGTGTGAAAGTTTATTTTTTGTAACATTTTATTTTGTAACAAAACAAGAAAGAAGAAATGCACGCCTATTACTTAGTTCCACAAATTTTTGTTAGTTAATATGTCATAGTTTTTCGATCAAATTTAGCATCTATAGTCGATTTATATTCAAGTGGAAGCGAGCCGCTTAATTTTTCCATGGTAATGTCTATATAATATGTCATAAAATATTTATGCTACGATTGTCGGTTGCTTCTTCATACTATAATCTTTAAATAGTATCCGTAACATAAGTAGGTACTTAATACGAACAGAAAAACTGATGCTACTATAATTACGTCTTTTTTAAATCCGCTTTCGTCTTTTGTTTGGCCCAAAACATTGGTTTAATTATATCCATCACAATACTCGTGTCGCCGCGTTACGGGCAGTTTGAGTAGGTCGGATTTAGGTAAAGAATATGTTACACATGTGATAAGCAGACCGGGGTGACTAATACTGGTTTAATTAAGCGTTCAAACACTGAGATAAGATAATCAGGAGCCGGTTTGAAAGTTTATAAATTGGACAATTATCTATGTATCTTACGACCACTGTCAAAATTAGATGCATTTGACCAAAGTTACTTTTAAATGTAAGACTTTGATCATAAATATTAACAAGAGTTTAAATACTTTAATTAGTTATCTTACCACCCACAAATAGGTAAGGACTAAAACTAGTGTGCAAATTATTAAAAATATATTTTTATTATTTAAATTATTTTCATGTACCTACATAAGTATTCTTTATTAATCTATACAAATAAATAAAATTGAAGTGTCTGTTTGTAATGTCTAAATTACAACTTTTTACTAAATGCACATGAAAGTATATACGGTACTTATAAGAAAAATACATTTTTTCTTTATTATAATCTTACACTTCTTCGCATATTTACTACTGTCTTGAGGGATATACTTTACTAAAGGATTGACCTTACCAAATTGTTTATGTAAGTAGTTAAATTTCATCATTACCATTATCGTTTTGTACAGCCCTTTACATGTCTACTGCTCAAGATAAGGCGTCCGTCCAAAGAATTTCACACAAAACACAAAATCACGTTCTTGAGTTACCTGCATCTATCGATTTTCTGCATGTCTCACAAGGTCCACACTTCATCTAATGGGAAACCCTCGTTCCGTCGTTACCGGCACAACGCTACCACTCTAGAACTTTTCTTCCCCATCGTTTGATGGTTACCAATTGATATAGTATACAATAAATTAACAACATTTTTAATAAAATGTAAAAGACGACTAAAATAACTTCAACATAAGAGCTTCAGAAGTCATTGTTAATACATAGGGTTTATCAAAGTCTCGACTTCAGACGCTAATAATTGGAAATTATTTAACTCTTTTTAGCTCTTTGAAGTTTGATTTTACATTTTATCAAAGGTTTAATTTAGTCTCTTTTGAGTGGAATTTGCAATATTACATTACATTTCAATCTCTAATGTACATAATATTAAATAGTCACATTGAAATAGTTACATTGAAAGTTTCATCCCCTATTTTTTCACTCATAAAAGTGGAATTTTTCTTAAAAACTTATATGTAAACATTTCTGAAGTATAGTTAAGTCTAGTAAGTCTGTAGTATAAGCAATAAGTAAGTCTATTTAACGAAAAAGAATCATCATAATCTTTTCACAATTGACAAAGATATCGCGTAACATGCATACAACATGCAGTTTAATTGAGAACCTTTTCCTTTTTCCTCTTTCTAAATCGGATAAAAATATACCTTTTAATAACGACACACAGTGCTTAAACATAAATCTCATAAAATCAGGCAATAACAAAATGGGCTCATCATTAAATTATTCACAGTTATGTTCTAGAAGCATCGAAATCGAATAATTTTAGAACAATATGGCAGCATACCGTGAGCGTTTATTATTCATAAATCATACAACTGTCAATACGTAAACAAAGCTAATTTGGGGAGCACGATGTTTAGTAGTTTCCTGACAAATCGAAAGGCTAAAGATAATATGCAAAGCTTGTTTCGAAGTTTGAATAGAATTTAATATAATGCACACCAGACAGTTATACTATATCTGTCGGAATTAATGTTACTTGAATTATTTATCTTATAAATCGACCTTTAATGTTAGAGGTCTCTGTGAGGAAATTTTGCTGTAATTGCTACGTTATTAACACACACAAGGCAATCATGATATCCTGTAGGTTAATCGCTGACCCACCGTCATCGTTCTAAATATTTTTTTAATATAATTTTGTGATCACTGTTGCGCCATCTGTGGGATAGGAGATTTTTCCGTTATTTTCGATAGTCAAATTTTATGATGCCTACGTGAGGAGACGGTTTCTTTTAGATCGCTACCAGAAACCAAAGATGA